AATAACACTAAGTGGTATATCAAGAAACCTGAGTGATGAAATAAAACAGATAGAAGAGGTGTTCGTGTTAAATAACTGTCCTATAGAATTCACTAGGAAGATCAATAAAGGTCAAAAGCGAAATAAAGATAATGGTGAAACTAATAATGATAACATAAATAAAAAAGAATGTAAGTCATCCACAGTTATACCATATAAGTAGAGGAGGGACATCTGAGACCGTAGGTAGCATTCTCAATAAAGCAGGAATTAGGGTGGCATTCAAACCCACAAACTCACTCAGGGACAAGCTCTGTAGACTGAAAGCCCCGGTGGACCCAATTTAATAAAATAATATAATTTAGAAAATACCTTCCAATGACTGTGAGTCAGGTCAACTACATAGGTCAAACTAGTAGATTAGGAGTAGTGAGGTTATCGTAGCGTAAGAATTCAGCTAAGATTAAAATGAATGACCCCGAGAAGATAAGCAATTTAGAAAAAATCTCAGGAATTCCACTGCATGCATGAACACACAACCACACAATAGGATGAGACAAAGTTGAAATTCCAAAACGTTATATAGATAGGTGAAGAGAGAGGTTGATTACTGAATCCTTGTTCATAGAATCTACACCCAACATGTGCGATAGGAATGATTCAACACCAGTACCAGATATATGGGAAATATTACTACCAATCAAAATAAACAGGCGAGAAATAGTGGAATCATATAAACGAAGTAGCAAAGTTGTGTGAGTAATGCCTTGATATGATAATAAGCAGCAATAAATTGTGCTCGAAACGTGGTCATCAGTAGATATTACTGCATAACTTTGTGAAACTTTATCAAAATAAATTTTATTGTCGATGGTATTGTACTCTGCCACAGTGCACAAGTTCTATTCTTATATCTTAACATTACTCATCCATGAACATATTAGTGACTGAAACGGAGACTGTAACATTATGAGATGCGTGTATTGCTATTATTGTTATTATTCAGCTTCTGGATCAGAATCCAATGTAGGGCACATAAAGCCTAGTTTCTGTCATTTTGAAAAAAAAGTGTGGTTAGATTTGTAATCTATTGTAGGATTCATTTGAAAGTAAATATTTTGATTAAGTAAAGTAGACCTTATTCTAGATAATTTAGACATGCTACTAGTTGATTTAAAATACTCAATTTTCATGATAAAATGTCAGGAGAAGAAGGAAATACGAAGGTATTTAATACAATAGTCAGATCCGAATAAAAGTGGTGAGTATTTAAGCATGTGAACAAACAAAACAATCGTTTCAGCTTTTGTCACAAAATGACGTCAGTTAGAGAATCCGTGGAAATTAGGAAGCACTGAACAATTGTTTTGTCATTGTTTGGGACTTTAATTTGTGGATGGTGGCTAGCAGTGGAATACAGGGTGCGCATTTCGTCCCATTTGAGACTCGTCAACTGGATGTACCTGCATTTCCCAGTGAGTGGTAATGTTCCCAGCGAAGCCGACATGTCAACCTGAAACCGAGCACTTCTGTCCAATCAATCGACGGGAAAATTTCAAATTCATTGAAACTTGTTTGGGACTCTTCATTCATCAGCGCACACCTACCAGGATTCGAATCCATGATCAAACTTGAGACAAATCAAATCCCTAAAAACTAACTCTCGAAACAATCATCTTACTTAGATGATTTGTTGGGGAATGACTGATTGCATATATCTTTCTTTCAACAATAGAAAACTGTTGCAAAATCAAGACAAACCAGAAGGTGAAGAAAAAACTGTTTCATCTAATTAATTCGTGATGGACAATAACAAATTTATGTACTACTGAGTTTAAATCCATCAAGTTTGATATGATGAAAATCACCGATGGATTTTATAAGCGCAATTTAATTAATTAATTAATTACAATTAGATTCTAAATGCGTTTTGTCATCTAGTCAATAGTTTTAGTAGTTTGGGTCTCAAAAAGAATAGAAAATAACTTCCTGAGAGTTGTAGACGCACTTTGCTGATAAGTATCAGCAAACAATAAACTTAGATCCACTGAATCCTGACAAATGATTTCCAGCGTCTATCAGTAAGCTGTTACAGCTTCAGTAATCACGAGGAACCTCACTGGACATCTGATCATTAGATGCTGGTTAATAATACTTAGGACTTATAACCACCTGTCTCGTATCCGATGATCATTTCATGTGCATTCGATATGCTATGCTGAAAATTCCTTTACAAACCGTGATTCGATGCTCGGATAGTTCTTATTCCTCCACAATCTAACATATTGTTGACTGAAATATCAACAATCCTGTATATTTAGCCTGGATAGTATGTAATTATGCACTTATTTCTTAAAATATTAAAGATTCTAAAGGATATCTAACTTAAAGTGAGTAGGCCGATCTCATCAGAATTAATATATCTTCGTCGATTTAGTATGTTGTGTATAAATCTTAAATGACAACATGCGATGGTATTTATAGCGAGGTGTGAAGTGAAATACCTATGGATTATAAAACGTATAATATCATGTCGAAACTTAAAAATCCCTTAATAATGGTATCTTATATATGCAATTCATAGTAATGTCTTGATCAAATAGAGCTAAAATCTGAAACTTCATTCGTAACAGAAGTAAGAACTACATACTACTGTAGTTGGCCAGCTGCTTTGAGTAGTAGGCTAAGTGGCTAATCTAAACTATAGCGGCCTAAACGAAAGACAAAAATAAATGGACGTAGTGACGCTGATCAACCAATCAGAATAGTCTGTAGTAAGTTGACGGGATCGTAGATGCCGTATGCGAATTGCATTGTAGATTTCATCCAAGGAATAAGACATGTAAACGTAGTGGAGAAATACACTTACAGAGATATACTGTGGTGAGCGCCGGCTGCTAGCCAAAGTTGGTAGGCAGTAATTTACGTCAATGTTCACGTCCCCAATATTGGTCGTGAGAAAAAAAGGGCAAAGACTGATTCAACAATCAATCACAGCAGACTTTGCGTAGGCGGATACAGTTTTAATATAGATGATCTGACGTTCACGAAACAGCCACAAAGAGATGAAATATTAACTTTCAATGAAAAACCACCAGTCAGAAGACTGTGTTTGTTTGCTTACAATAATCTACAATAATGTACACGAAAATTTATAAATGTGTTGATTTCCTTAATAAACGATCTGCTGTAGCAGAAAGTCAGTTCGAGAAGATATGTAGTTGGTTTTAGATTGACTGCCAATCAATATCGGGTTCTGGGATTGTAGGACACCTGATCGTAACGTGAATGTTTTACTACCAATTATTGAACGTTTAGTGTTCGCAGGGACAACCATATACACAGATCAGTGGAGTAGGTATAGACAACTGTCATCTCTGGGACTATATTCACAATGTGGTCAATTAAACAAATTAGTTTGTTCATCCTTTCAGTAGGACACACACACACAAATCCCATCGAAAGTTTATGGAGTCACTGAAAATAAGAGGATCAGAACAGTAAATGGGTCACGTAAAACAGCATGATATATAGTTATCTGGATGAATTCATGTACATAAATCAGTTTGACCTATCAATCAGGAATCTTATAAGAAGTTGGGAGGTATTCTTGGAACACATACAACAACGTTGACCTGTATAACTACTTCTTTTTTAACATAACAATGCTTTTCTATAAAAATCTTTTCTTTAAAATACGTGCTTTTACTTCAGACTCATGTGACTGGTTGACAGATAATCATCAAGGTGATTATGACCTTGAGTACGTTTTGTTTTGCTAATGTTTAGAGTTGCCGTCTAAATAAACTGAACTCAACTAAAGTGGTGCTTGAAATTAAAGTGTACTGGACAAAAATTCCTTCCCAATGGAGGTCTATAAAGCTACCATTTGTCCGAGATAAACTGCATTTTTAATTCTGGATGAACAAAGAAAATAAACACCCCCAAAAAAACTGATCGAAAATGTTTTCAGGTGCATTAAACAAGTGGCAAAGTTGAACAATAGCGTCCCAAGGAATGCGAACACACGGCTGACCTTTATCCGATCGATCATAAAAATGAGGAATTTTTGCATGAGAAATGACGTATATTTACAGGAAAATGCATGAAAACACACTAAACAGGGTATCTTTCTCTGACAAGACTTAAAAATACGTCCCAGTTATAATGAGGTGTATCAGATGCTAAGTTGGACTAGTTTCTGTAGGTGTATTCACGGAGGTGACTGAAGACGAGCTGTTTTTGTAAATCGTTTATCTCTCTTATCCTGTTGTGCAGTCTTCCTGAAAAGTCGTCGGTTGAACTACTATGGTTTTCAGTAAAAGGATTGACGACTATTTACCAGGGAAATGTGGATAAGAAAACAAATAAAAATAAATTACATCAACTCTAAATCTATCCATAATCGTAACCTTAACCTTAATCCTGACCCTAACCCTAGATTTAACACCAACCCTAATTACAACCCTTATCCTAACCGTAAACCTAACCCTATGCTAATTATGACTCTCATCTTAACCCTAACGAGCTATTGACACATTGTCCAAGCAGTACTTAAAAACGTGATCTAGGTGAAATTTGCTCCTCAGTTGGTGAATGGCATTGATATTTCAGCTATGATAATGGCAGGTGCCGTTAGCCAAACAGTAGCACGCATTCAAGGTCATGGGAGCATTGGCACCCGTGGGACACCAATGTTGAACTTCTCCAAATAAGTCTTGAAATATAATCGCATGATAAAAAGAGCTAATTCAGTATCCTTAAATTGTGTAAAAACAGAAATTATGCATAAGCGAATTGTTTTAAAATCAAAGAACTTTTCTCTAAAACAAAGTACTAAGAGAAATAAGTACAAATTTTGGAATGATTTGATTGGATGTTTATATATTTGCAAGGTCACTATGGCAACTCAGGTGATTTTTATCCAAAACACAAGGTCATTACTTTTGGGTTTTCTCCAATATAAACAAATAACCTATGAATGAATTAAGTGAATTCTACTAAATTAGTCAAATTAATCAATGTACATTGATCCATTGAATTATTTAGATAATTTAAAATGTTCTATTTCAAGTGAAAATCAAAAGAATGAAGTGTATCGTTTGTTTAAAGCATTGAAATGTCGTTTAGAAGATTTTGAAAGAATTTATAAATTAAAGCATTCTAACTGTCTATCATCTTCTGTTTGGTTCTTATTAACTGATTTAAATCTATCAAATCTTCAATTAGAAATAATACCCGATGAAAATGTCTTTTCATCACTTCCAAATCTTCGACGTTTATGGTTGAATAACAATAGAATTGAAAATTTGAATAATTGTTTAACAAAATGTGAAGGTCTTTTAGAACTAAGATTGGGATCGAATCAGTTATATACTATTTGTGGACAGTTGTATAGATTGCATTGTCTTGAAATATTAGATTTATCTAATAATCATCTTGGCAATATACAGGCAAGTTTATAAGTCCTCAATTTTTGAGAAAATTTTATTGTGATTGTTAAAACCTGTTAATTTTCTTAAGATATAAAAAAGCCCAGTAGACAGGTGAAGGTCAGAGTGAATGAACCTAGACTGTGCACGAAACGTTCACCTAGAAATGAAGTAGAATTAAAAAGTCTAGAAAAAAGATCAGCTATAGCAATGCATACTCTCAATGAACAGTGGACATAAGATTGAATTCTACAATGTCGAAATTCTGGGAAAAGGCTTTCATTCACATAAAGAAAGGTTGACCTCTGGAGCTTTGCACTATTTAACCACATCGAATACAGTACATGGGAGAGAAGGGATAGACTTGTCACATCTATATGGCAGACTTTGATGAAGCAAAGCAGATGAGACAGAAACACAAATTCGATCCTATGTTATGATCGTATTGTGAAATATTATCATGTATTGACGTATTTTCCACATAACAAACAATGTTTACACACATCCCACTCATACAGACAAATACGTATATATGACAATTTGACATTATCAAGTATTGATTTTTAAGGGATTTTGTTTCATTGCATGGAGGATTTCACCATGAGCTGACTTCAGTTAGAGAACCACTGGAAAACCTGTGAGTATTGGACAGCTGTTTCGTCCTAGTCTGGGACTCTTCACTGTACGCATCCACCGGAGCTCGAACCGAGGACCTTCTGGTTACAAGGCAACATAGCTCGTAGACCACTGAGCCACTGGGACCCTATCCAACGGTTCTTGGAGATGAGGCAGTAGCTCGTCGAAGAAGACATTGTGAAGCGGTCTGCTATATCGTGAATTGGCAGAAGTTAGAATTCAAGGAACACTGGATCTGTCCCAGTGGCTCAATGGTCTACGAGCTATGTTGCCTTGTAACCAGAAGGTCTTGGGTTAGAACCCTGCAATGTGGTTGCGTGCTGATGAAGAGTCCCGAAGAGGGAAGATGAAACAGCTGTCCAGTACTCCCAGGTTTTCCAACCGTTCTTCAACTGATGTCAGCTCATGGTGAAATCCTCCATGCAATTTGACATTTGTCATTATAAATATGTGGTGACTGTTTACACTTTTCTGCTGGTACAAACGTCTACTGATAAGTGACCATCAAAGGAACTGGCTTCAGTTTATGTAAAAAAATGTTGACTATATATTTTGATGTTTAATAAAATCCGAATAGTTCTGCTACTGAAGAGGCTGTGGCTTACACAGAGGAATATATGCGGAAAAATTTTGTTTTGATTTTTTTTCCAAAGACTCTGGAATTATTTTAACTAATTTATATTGTGATTCAGTCTGACTCGGTGCTCAAATTATTCCGGGAAATTCGTAACATCTACGGTCTGGAGACTCATGATAGCTTAAAATTATGCTAAAAAGCATTAATCATTAGCAAAACTCTACTGTAAATTGGAAATCAAGATAGTTTGGTTCCTTGTTGGCCTATTTTTAAAGAAACTTGACTTCCTGAGTTTACACTATTTTCATTTGGATGGTTTCAAGGGAAATGATTTGTTTCGATAAAGTTTTTGTCACAAATCATTATCAACAAAAAGAAACTATGCAAAGAAGGGACAACGAATAATTCTATCTTACTTATGTGGGAACTGTTTTTAGTGGTCGATTTCATCACCCCATACTCAAATCTGTCAAGTCTCCATATCAATCCGCTGCCATTCAACCAATACGCTGAAACTGAATACCTCATTTTTTATGGTCTCTACTGTCCCTTACGTATAATCTTTCCAAGTGAACAGCTCATCTGTGCTTTGGTTCTAAATCGATATTTAGAAATTTCATTCTGAAGACACAGTCGATGAAGGTCATTATTCTTTGAAATAATTTGGTGGATAGTGATTAGCACTGGAATCTGGGATAAGCATTTTGTCTTATTAGGGACTCGTCATCCAGATGTAGCTATATTCCCTAGTGAATGATGGGGTTCCCACTGAGACTCGAGTTCAGAATACATTGTTTCAGACGTCAAAGCGTTATCCACTAGGCCGTTTGGGACACAAGTTCCATTTGATATATAGACTTAATTTTCTACATGTCTTTATTACCTGTCTGGTTTTATTTCTCTCACCCTACTTATTGATTTATAGAGCTTATTTTCCCTCACCCCACTGACTGTTTCAATTTATCAATGTAATTAGTGTCTTTAGAGGTCACTTAAAGCATATATATGTAACGACAGAAGACAAGGGCCAGGAAACAGATTGTTTATTGAGAAAATCGAGAGGTATTTACAGATTTTTATGTACATTATTATTCGTTATTGTTAGCAGAGAGACAGCGTCTTCTGATTTGTTGTTTTCTTGCTGAAGGTTCTTCTGTCATCTCTTTGTGGCCGTTTCTTAAAAAGTTAGGCCATATATCTGCTAGTCATATCCACCCACGCAAAGTCTGCTGTGATTGGTTGTTGAGTTCTTCAAGGTTAGGCTTTGTTCTTGTTTCTTCTCACGACCAAGATTTGGCGTGTAAACATTGACGTAAACTGCTGTCTACCAATTTTGGCTAGCACACAGCTCTTACCATATATATACAAGCTCTCCCAATCATTTTTGCTGCTGATACGAGACAGGAGCTCTCTACGTCTACAGTTAGTCTTCTGTTCTTGCGTCGCATTATCGTTTCTAATAGTGCTCGGAACGATAAGTTCGTGAACCGACTATATAGGAAATTCGTTGACACAACTACAAGTGTATTAACGGTCATATCACTTATAGTATGAAATATTCATCCTGGATCCCACTGTTAGTCACTATCCACCAAAATTACTTCAAGTTAATCCTCAGATATCGCCGAACCATACCCATAAGGAGCCTATTAGTCAACAGAGGCCGGACATTACGGTCCAGTCAGCCAGTGGGAAAATCAAAATTGAATTTCAGGTTTCTATTCTTTCTATGACAACCCCTATGGAGGATGGTAGTGAAGCATCATGAGTAGTCAGAATTTTGATAAAAGAAAATACACTGAATTCCCACCAGGCAAATGAATAGTAATACAGTGACACGTACCTGTGATTCATATTTGATGACATTGTAAGTTTTCAGACTTCAGTGTTCTTAAGTTGAAATATAGAAGCTGTTGACAGATTCCTCACTTTTCCTGGTTATCCAAATAATATATAGTTATAATAAAAATCACTATGCAGCCGAATAATTTATTTCCCCAACTTCATGTTTCTTATAAAGTTGAATGAGTTAAGTCTGCTCAGTTTGATAATCTGTGTCACCAACTGAAATGAACTCGTCGCTAATTTGTTTTGTATCTTTTGTCAACTGAGATGATAGCATTGAGAGTTGACACTGTGGTGTGTGCTGCTCATAAGACTTATCAGTAGTATATAAAGAGACTCTCACTGGCAAACAAATATCACATACCAATATCAAACTCTACATGAACTTGGATTTCAAGGGAGATTTAGCAACGATATATTCTCAAGAGAATGATCACATCATCTTGAAAAGGACAAGGCTAAGAATAGTGTTCTCCAGTCACCCACTGATCCGCAGAAGCCTTAGGGACAAGATCTCGCATCTGACCACTTCTATGTCCATATATCAGTTCAACTACTGCTGCTGTGGAGCCAGCCAGGTCTTCGGTCGTTCAACGCGCATCCTGTCCAGAAGGATTGAAGAACACTATCTAGCGTAGTTGCGATAATTGAACACCTGGTTAACACTGATCGTTCCATCTCAACAAACGTCTCCTGCTTCAAAGAAAGCTACACAGTCAAGAGTAACCTACGAAAGGCAATACACTTGCGTCTTCTTTGTACCGCTGAAGGTCTGGTCATTCACATAGAAAAACTGGAGCTATGCATCCAAGAGAGCATTGCTCAACCTCTTCTCCTATCATGGTAACAACTTTGATGGATTTTGATGACTTAATTTTGTTTGTTTGCCTGTTTCTATAATTGCTTATAATTATTTTATTCATTTAGAACTCTTAAGTTATTTCGTATTCGCTACTTTTTTCCTATGTGTGTATCCTGAGTACAACTCAGTCATCAAACTATTCATATTATTACATAACTCCTTTTTAATAACTGTTTATGACAACTCATCACCTTTTTTATTACCCTGGTTTCATTAACATCGAATTTTCTTGACCGTTTTTGTATTGCTTAACTCCACTGAAAACTTAATAATTTTCACCGGTTTAGTTAAAATAACCATAACAAATCGTATTTTTTGTTTGACAAACTTAATGTAAACATACATACAAAACAATCTATACATATTTACGATTGTACAGCTAAGAAAATGAATTCGCTGCCACCGAAAATAGACTCTTCGCTGAACTACGTGGTTTGTCTTCATTAAATATCAGATAGCACGGAGATAGTAGATTTGATGTCAAACAGAGCAAATTATTCAGCGCTGCGGAGATGCATGGGAGACGTGAAAGGAACACAAAGAAACACACACAGTATATGAAGGAAGGCCAGAAGTAGCACAACACGGAAGATGTGTGCAAATGGTGCGTGAGGTGAAGATAAGGTGTACATAATTTCGCTTTATAGCGATACCAAAATCCAAATAAATACTCCTTTATCAAGTCTCTCGTCTCCTATCATTACAATATAACCGAGTGTACTTAAGTGTGGGTATAACTCAATGAACAATTCAACAGAAATGCTAAATACACCTATTCATCCTTCGCATTTTCTGCTTCACTGAACCACGTAAATATCAAATGAAAAAGACTGGCATGTGACTGTTTTTTTTCGTTTTTTTTCCTTCACGTTCCCAGTGGAACATAGGGCTTTAAGCTAGAAGGCTTGAAGTTTTTGTATCAGTGTTTATTATTTCACAGGATGAGGTTGCTAGCCTCATGCCCAACCTTCCCGATTTACCAGTCTTAGCACTGGCTTATCGAGGTAAAGGAGTGCGACGGCAGGGGATCGAATCCCCGATCACTTGCGTCGTCGGCGACCACTCTACCGCTGTGCTACCTGTGACTGTTAGGATTTGATTTTACTAGGAAAAAGCACGTCATATTTACATATTATTAACTACCTTAAAATCTGCCTAGAGCAGTGGAAATCGATTGTTGGGATTGGTAGGTGGTACGGTTAAGTTGACGAATGATATAATGAATCATAAGACGATTACTACTTGAAGCTGATTCTTATCATACAGATAACAAACAGCCACAGAAATTATATATCCATAGGAATTTTGACTTAAACACTGCCTTATGTGTGGTTTTATGACCTAATTAGTTTTTCAACCAATGTCTCTACCCTACTACTCACTATTTTAGGAAGTTGAAAAAGAATTATCGAGAATGCATTTTCTGCGTGAACTAAATTTACTCGGTAATTCTATTGTTCTACAACCTGATTTCAAATATCGTCTGTTAACTATACTACCAACGATAACCGTATTGAATAAACATGAAATTCTACCAGGTCAAGTACATCGAATCAACTCAAAGAGAAATCATTATTTAGAAGAACACAGAGAATTGAATAAAAAGTAGGTTTCTGTTGTATATTCTCTAAGGTGCTTATTTATTTATTTTTCTGACTGTTGAGTAAATTAATTCAAATTATAGAATTTGAGAAGACAAGTCAACAAGATGAGATATCTTTTCGTAACTTCCCTTCAGTTTTGAATCTGACCAATTAACTGGTATTGTTAAAGATTCTCAGGATTGTACTTAGCTCAGTATTTTCGTCAATAATGATAAAGAGATAATATATTTCAGGTATCCCATGTAGCAAATGGTGAATAATGGGCTAAATGGAGAACCAACTGCCAATCCATGTTTTGTGTAACAGCTCAAGGAGCAAACTATTGTTCATCAATATCGATATCAATGATACAAATTAAAGCTTCAGAGAAGAAAAATACTACCGATGATTGTTGCTTTTGACCGACTAAAGTTTAATCGCCAGCAGAAGTGATTGTAATACTTAGAATAGAATGTATGAAAAGTTTTGATACCCCAGATTTACCAAGAGTTTCACAAATATTTCTAAGCATGTTCATCAGATCTTTCTGTAGATACAATCGAATAAATGTGTCGTGAGAGCTGTAGACAATAATTTGCGTCAATGTTCATCCCCAGAATCAGGATCATGAGAAAAAACAATGACAAAGCTTAACCTTGAGAAAATCAAAAGCCAATCACAGTGGAGTTAACTTGTGGAAATATGAATCGCAGACACATGGTTTAACTTTCTAAGAAACGGCCGCAAAGAGATAACAGAATAACCTTGAGCAAGAAAACAACCAATCAGAAGACGTTGCCTCCCGATAACAATAACGCTAATAACAATGCACATAAAATCTGTAGATACTTCTTGATTTTCTCAATAAACGATCTGTTACCTGGCCCTTGTCTTCTGTCATTACAAATGAAACCCTTAAGGTAATAAGTGAAGTGTTTTAATGCATTCATGTCAATGAGAATACACAAAGACTTCTAATTTATCAGGAAGATAATTACGCTGACAGATCAACAGAGGTCTTTAAAAAGAACCATATTACATCACAATACATCGTTTAATATCTAAGGTAAAAGTAAACCGGAAGAATAACATTTGAAAACAGCAAAAGACAGAGAACAACTCTTCAACAATCAAAACCAACGTGCTGTGCTTTGAACGCGGAAAATCAATCTTTGTATTCTACTGTAAAGCTGTCTAAGACTTCGTTGGGTTACTCACAATTACAGAATACCCCGATGACAGCAATGAAATCTGTGGAACTATTCAACCATCGTAATGCATCAAAACGCAAATTTACCTCAACAATGCTACTAGACAGCTATACAAATCCCTAAGTTTCTTGAGTACAAAACAAGTAGTGCACAGAGCTAAAAAAACTGCATAACCAAAAATCCACTCAAAGAAGTACCTAATAATGGAGTAGAATATGCTGAACAAGGTGGGAGGAAAAACTCTGTAAGCAAGAATCGCACACTGAGCAATTCGCGTGGATTGTTCAAAGTCAGAATCATCATGACTCACTCACACAAAACCACAGTCGCAATGTAACGACAGTAGACAAGGGCCAGGCAACAGATTGTTTATTGAGAAAATCAAGAGGCATTTATACATTTGTATGTGCATTTTTATTAGCAGAGAATCAACCTCTTCTGATTGGTTGTTTTCTTGCCCAAGGTTATTCTGTGCTGATTGTGACCGTTGCTTACCAAGTTATCCGTATATCTGCGAATCGTATCCACCCACGCTAAGTCTGCTGTGACTGGTTGGTGAGTTCCTCAAGGTGAGGCTTTGTCAATATTTTTTCTTATGACCCCGATTCGGGACGTAAACATTGACGTAAATTGCTGAATATAATTTTGGCTTGCAGACAGCTCTCATCACAGTAAAACAATACATTACCAAAACCATCATACAACCACAAAGAAAAGCACTAAAATTAGATATTAAGGCGTGACAAGGACAAATAATTGGGATTAAGTCAGCAGCTTATATTCGAGCGTCGGAACAATGATATACAGTCTATAAGAAAAATGGGTAGTAATTAAAAAGTTAGTTGGAATATCTAAATAATTAGCAACATTGTATTTAGATTGTTCGGGAAAAAAATTTTCCACAGCGATTATTTCTCTACGAACTCGATAAAAACTAGTGAAAGGTATTCACAACTCTTATAATATCTATTGAATATATATGCGTCGTTGGAACTGAATCAAATCGTTAATTATTCGCTAATTATGATTCTCGGTACAGACCATATTTCTTTGATGAGAAAGTTTTGCTAGTCAAAGTAATCCTGGTTGGTTAGATCAGTGTCGATGGAGTCTGACTGGTAAAATTTATCCATTCAGAACAAATTTTCCACTTACGATTTATTGGTCATTCGCATTATGTGTATAATTAGATTGCCTTTTGCTTACAGCAATGAAATTCTGCCTTCTTAGTCAATCTCCTAGGTCTTTCTCACTGGGGGAATAGTATTCGATTGATCAGTCGTGTGTTGTTGTAATAATAGAGAAGATTTGTAGCTCAAGTAGATGATTTGCAATTAATAGTGTTCCTTGAGCTGGTTGGTTTAGTTGAAGAGCTTTCGTCGTCCACCATTTGGACAAAATCCCCAGCGCAAGTTTTTGCATAAAGTAGACTGATTTAAATTTTTCATGAGTGAAAGAATTGCGTATCCCGGTAACCATCTTTATATATGTATGGACCATTTTCTATTGACTTGGATTTTAAACTTTCTGGTTACCTGATTTACTCTTTATTAGTTGGTATATTTGATCTATATTAACGTGTTTGTTAATCACACATTCGTTTGAGTTCCAGGCTTCTAGGAATTCTCTGGCACATTTGGTGGGGTTTCCTCTGTCTAAGGTTTCGACATTATCCCAAACAAACCGATGCCCATAATTGTCTATGTGCATTGATATGAAAGGATATATATATATATATATATATATATATATATATATATATCGTGTCTTTTCACGGCTGATTGGTGTTCTTGGATTCTGATTCTAAGGGGACACCCACTTTGACGGATTTAATGGCTGTTACAGTTCATACAATTTATTTTGTAAATGGTATTAATTTTATCTCCTTTTTTCTGTTGAATCTTTCGGTTTGCATAATATCGAATTAGGCGATTTGACTGGCTTGTGTACCATATCTATATGAAACGGTTTCAGTATTCTAGCTGTGATTTCACAGATATTTCTTATGTATGGTAGAATGAATTTTCTCATGGTCTTTGATGATGGTTCCTTGTTGGTGTTGTGACTTGACTTTAAACACTTTTTGATGAAATTTTGTGGATAACCATTCTTCTTCAAGACCGTTTGTAGGTATTTTTCTTCATTCTTTTCAACTCTGGTGTGCTACAATGTGTTTGAACTCTTCTAAGCAATGTCTGCACACAGTTTCTTTTATGAGTAATCGGATTATTACTAGTATAGTTGAGTATTTGATCTGTGTGCGTTGATTTTCTATGTACTTGTGTTTCTAAATTTCTTGTGTTGGTTCTCCTGATTAAGACATCTAAAATTGGGATTTTGTTATCTAATTATCCTTCTACTCTTGTGAATTTGATGTCTTCAAATATGTTGTTTATTAATTTATGGGTATATTCTAAATCATTTCTATTAATTATTAAAAATGTAACATCAACGTAACGTACCCAGATTTTTGGTTTAATTATAGGTAGAGCTATTAATTTTTAACCTTTGCATGACGGCTTCAGCTATTAATCCTGATATGGGTGATCCCATTGGAGTTCCATTTATCTGTTCATATATTTGAGGATTGAATTGGAAGTACGTTGTAAGGCATAATTTTATGAGTTTTATCCAAGTTGAACATTGCGTTTTTATGTTTTCATCACTACAGAGTAATTGGTGCATAGTTTCTGTTTCTAGTTTTGGACTAACTGAAGTATATAATGCTGTGACATAATACGACACCATTATTTCATTGTCTTCTATTTGAATGTTTTTGATTTTCTCCAAAAATTGGATTAACGAATCGATAGAATGGTCGCATGATTCTGTTAGGCAATTTAATTTCCTTTAGATAGATTATATATTGGTGTTCCTGTTGTTGTGTTAAATGAACAGTTAGAAGAACGAGCCCAGATCCAATTTCGTTCTCTGACACACACACACACAACACATTTACGAACTTGTTATTATTATTTATTTATTTTATTATTCCCTAGGGTTCCTAGTAGAACGTAGGGATTCAACAGGACAACTCCACTTTGTTCTATTCTCTTCAGTCTTCTTCAACTGGCTCTACGACTGCCCATAAGATCTCCTACATGCCACCCTCGAAACAAGCCATACTCGTTGTTTTCTACTCGAGTTCTACTCAAAGGGGTCTGGCATGTGACGTCACTCGATAGTCTCCTCAGCGTGTGTCCGATAGATTTCCATCTTCTTCTACATATTCGTTGAGCGATAGACTCTTGATTGGTTTGTTCCTGGCCAGAGTTTCTTGTTGCTAATTCTTCCTGGCCGTCCATATGATCTTCAGTGTGGATACAGAGAAGGTGGTTGTTGATAAAAGTCGGCGACCTGTTAAAAATGTTTGTCTATTACTGATGATATTCTTAATTGTGGTGGATTGGATTATGCGTCAGACCATGGGGAGCGAGGAGACAGGAATACACTGGACTGCCGATAAGAAGACTATAGAAGATCTGGACTTAGCGGATGATCTTTGTCTAATTTCACATAAACTCGAAGACTTGCAGGTGAAAACCAACAAACTGACGGAATAGGCAGGTGGCCAAGGCAAATTGAAGGTGAATATGGAGAAGACGGGGTGGTGAAGATAATCTAACAGCAAAAACAACGAAAAAAGCATCAATCACTATTAATAGGATAGATCTGGTAGGGGTGACTTCCTTCACTTATTTGGCTGGGAAGCACGACTTCAACGAAAGAGAGACGGAACGGATGAAGATGACAAAGCCAGTCGGAATCGGAAAGGCAAGATACGCCTTCATCTACCTGAAACCAGTTTCCA